ACTTAACTTCTATTAGGTTAAGAGTTCAATATCAACAAGTCAGCAAGGTGAGGATTTTCCAGATTAGTCTCTGAATTTTATAAACTCAATAAACAGCAGATGTGTCTTTCTTGCTAGTTTCTTCTGGTAAGAGTTCAGAAAAAAAGCAAATGCTTGTTTTCTTTGTATGGCATATGGAAATAAATGTCTTTGATTTATTAAGGGAAGTATAATGGATAATAATACCTATAATAACTTTATGATGAGTTGCCAATTTTTTTTCTTTATTTCTTCTAAAGTTACCCCCCCCCCCCGCCAAATTTCATACTTCTTAAATTCTCTTTCTTTAGGTTTTAATTCTATTTTACCATCTGGGCACTCTATCTTCTTTTCTCTACCTGTTGTTCCAATAGCCTTACATTTAATTAACTCATACCCAGAACAAATATATTCCTGAAAAATCAGTCTGCTATCTGCTAGTTTGTCTTATAATTTTTTCAATGGAGATAATAATTTCTTTATGATTCTACTCCCATCCATGTCTTATAGTTTCAATCATCTCCAGGCATTATACTTTTAAAATAAATACTTTTTCTAAAATTCAATATTCTCTTTTTCATCAGATTGGAAATATCTTCATCTTGTAATTATTCTCTGTGTGTCATTGGTCAGTTAAGTCCCATTTAAACTTCACTTTTTAACATTCTTAGCTCTATTTCCTTCTTGGCACACCCGCAACATAAGTATTCTAGACTCATTCCTGTTGTGTTATCATTCATGCTTACTAGACTGTAGATATATTGACCATATCCGTCTGTTTGGGTCCTTTTGCACAGTTGATGTCATTTCTAGGCACTAGGGAAAGGTGAAACTCATTTTATAGATTAATAAATATTAACTTCAGAGATAGGAAGGGATGGAAGAGGAGCAAGCATGCCAGGAAATGTGGGAGAAAGGAAGCCAGACAAGAAGGAAGAAAGGAGGTGAGGAAGGAAGGAAAGAAAGAAAATAGAATAATTGGCAGAAAACAAAAACAGCATGCACATTATGACACCATTGTGAAAACTAATAAATACAAATGCATAAAGAAAAGAGAAAGCATATATATTGATTTTTACTGTTAGGAGTTCATGATATACATAGAGAGTACAAGCTCAGATGAGTTTATTTAGTTATTCTATTTAAGAAACAACAGCCAAAAAAATACAAATACCCTGTGTATATGTAGACAAGCTGTGTATGTGTATGTTTCATGAGCAAGAAGAATTGTGTATAGGAACATATATCAGGTTATTAATATTGGTTGTGTTGGGGAGAGAAAAAGTCATTTTAGGACATTTTAATACATCTTTGGATTATACAGTTGACATATTTTCAAAAGTACATATTTGTTTTATTAATATAGGAAAAATAAAATGAAGGAAATGATAAATACAACAAAAAATTTGTCACCTCCCCACGCCTTTCTCATTTCCTATGCAAGAAAAGCTATCATTAATAGTTTTCATGATATCACCCAGTCTTTATTCTCTGCACTGCACTTATGCATTTCTGGTATTTTTCTTAATTGTTTGATAATTTTTAATTGATTATCTATCACATGTAAATGCAAGGGCCTTGACTGTGTTTGTCAGAAAAATATCATCACTGTTTAGAAATCAATTCATAGTATATAAAAAATTGAATGCATGAATGAGTGATTAAATAAATGAACTCATCGAGCATTGTCTTACATTATGATTTTACTTTAAGCACCTATATTTGGGAAATCCAACATGATCAAAACTCTTGAGTCATTGAAAATAGCATAATTCAATTCAGACACTAAATGTTCAGAAATATTTGCATTAAAAAATTCAGTTGAAGATTCATATTCTCATAATGTTCTAATCAAACTTAAGCAATTAAATTGAGTACTAAGAATATATTTACTATTAATATCTAGAAAATTGATTCATTTCATATATAAGAACTTATTTGATTTTGAAGTAAAAGCATTTCAATTACAAAACTATATCAATCCAAATTATGTGAAGTCACAAAATTTTATATAAACTCAGTAATAGTAAGATCATATTTAAAGAAACTTGATATAAATATAAAAAAACACTCAATTAATCAATATCAAAAATGATTCTCAAATTTGTCATGTAGATTTGCAGGCATTTTGCATTGAAAATTAATATCTTTTGCACATTGAATCATATTAGAAGAAAGTTTAAAATCATTATCACTTAGAAATATCATAAAAATTTTGAATTTAAGAACATTTGTTAATCATACCTGCCTAACTAGAATACAAATAAGCTTTTATTTCATTACAATTTCAAGCTTAGCTCCTTTGTATACAGATGTAAAATGCTTGTAAAATGTCTATACCATGAGTCAAATTTTTTACAAATTGAAAATATTTCTTCACAAATATGGAAGTATTTTGAGAATAAAATTACCCAAAGTAGGAACTGAGCAGTGTCTCTCATTGCATGACTTCTAAAGTTAAAGAAATGTTCTTGTGTTTTTTTTGGTTTTTTTAATTTGAACTAATACTGTAGGGAAAAAAAGTCTTGTGTTCTATAATTCTTTAGAAGCTTAATCTTAAATCTTTCACACACACACACTTTTTTGTAATTTCCTAACAAATTTCTATAAGTAAAATAATTATTTCACCATATTTGCATGTAAAATATTTTGCTTTTTCTCTTTCTTTTTTTCAAGAATGTAAGTCAAGTGAAATTTCTAATATGTTATAAAAAAGACTGTACATCATCTATTTTAAAGTAAGTCAAAGTTACCAATTTAGAACCTGTTAAATCAATTTACATTATTTCATGTTGAACATTTAGTTCTTAATGTTAATGCTTAATGTTTCATCAATTCTTTTTGAAATCTTGGTTGGAAATATTTCTTCAAATTATCCATTTTTGTATTTTTAATTTTTTCACAACAAACAATTTTTAAATTTTGTTCTAATTGAGCAATTTGCAATTTCCATCCATTATAAAATTTTCAACACGGCACTAGTTTCTGCATTTCGTTTGATCAATACAACTCTACTATAAATTTCAAATGTGTCCATTCTTATTGTTTAAAATAAGGAAACACTTAAATTATAATAAAACAATACATATTTTAATTTAATTACCATTACTGTTTACCCAACTATGACTAACTCATTCTGTCTGCATACAATAACCAAATGAGCATGTTGCTTGGTTTCATCAACATGCAGAAAAAAAATTCATTTGAAATTAATCAGTCTGTTGATGCCAAATACATAGTAATGAGTTCATGTGTAATGATAGCAACAGACTACATTTCCTGAGCAATTCAATATTATAATAGTTAATGTGATGCAGTTGGTAAAGTCAAAAGTATCCCTAAACAACAATAGATATTTTTAGCTGGAAAAAGTTTTTGATTTTTTGATTTTTAAATAATAAAAAATCATTAAAATAAAAAAGTTAAAATTCAGTTCTTTGATCATACCAATTCCACTCCAAGTACTCAATAGCTGCTTGGGGCTAGTCAGCACTGCATTGGATAATGCAGTCATAGAGTAACTGACAGTTTTATTTTTATGAGCAATAGTAGATCAATTGTATTGAAAGGTTACTATGCCAAAATAAAACAAAACAAATAAACAAAGGGGGGGTAGATGTCAAATACTGCTTGTTCAAAGACAATGTTTTGGTTTTTTTTCCTATCATGTGTACTTGTTACTGAATACTAAGTATTTGACCAGCAATAGTGGGTGAATTAAAAACCTTTTGTTCTGTTTTTATATACTTGATTTAAACTGTTTTTCAGCTAAAAAAAATCTCAAAGAAAAGACATCTTAGTAAACAAATCTGTAATGAATTTTAACTGAGCCAAACACTGTATTAGAAGCTATATTTTACATCTTGTAATCATCCAATTTAGATAACAAATTTATTGAAACTGTTTCTCATTCTCAACAATGTTTCCACATAGTATTGCTAGCCAAATGCTGTCATGGGAATACACTGTATCTGGTTTCTATTTACAACTTTGTCATGAAACCACTTGTATCACTTTAAAGAAATCATTTGAAATTGATTTTCAATGCTACCGTGACACCAAGACTAAAATCAGTTATATACAGAAAGAGATTGTCTTCCCCTCTCCCATCACAAACACTTGGTCACTTTTCTTCAATGAGAAAAACAAAAGAAAACAAAATTGATTATGTTGTGACAAAACAGAGCTAGATATTGAACTTCGACCTGTAAAGTAAACCAGAAGAAAAGGGTCGCTTCAGATTTAAAGTGAACTCCTTAAATAAGTTGAAATCCATTGTTTTCTATAGTTCTCCACTGTGAAACCTGAATGTGTGCACCAATAAGGGGAATAAAAAGGAGAAAGTTTTACCAGCATTCACAATGGGTTAATTTAAAGCCAGAATAGGATTATTAAGGAAAGATAAATCTGCATTTCTGCAATTGTAATACACAAGGACACAGGCACACTTACATGAACATCATTATCACACGTCATTTATAAATCCCCCTATTAAGGATCTGCTGATACTTCCCAGGTCACAAAATTAATAAACTTCAGAAGTTTGAAACTGTGACTTCTTATCTTTGGTCTTGGTTCCAATTCTATCACTTAATATCAAATTCTTTTGTACAAGGATGCATGTGATTGAAAATGCTTCATCAGGTAAATGCCTTTTGCCTCTATAGGATAAACATGATATTATGTTTAAGCTTGTAAAAAGTTTTGGCATTTTTTAGAGGAAATCGTGTTTAAGGGGCAAAAACACTATTGGGAATTTGAATGCTTTGCCTCTGCTCTGGTCTTATTGTTGACATGATGTTTGGCATTAATGTCAAACTTCCTATCACCTCAAATTGCTCATGTGTAAAATGAGTTCTTCTACTACATTACTTTCATCTCCTTAACAGGAATGATGTGAGAATTAATTGGGGCAATCTTTAATCTGCTTAGTTATTCCTGTTATTATATCTTAAAATAAACAAATGAATGTTACTTAGCAGTTATAATGATATTTTGAATTTAATGGTTTCAGAAAAAGCAACCAAAATTCAAGTACTGTCTGAGTCAAGGAAGGCAATGATCATGGGGCTTCAGCTTTGCATGACAGTGTCGTGTTCTCCATGGACATGCTACAGCTTACCAGCCTGCTGCACCTGCAGAGACAGAGAATAAAAGGTAAGCAGCTGTTCTTGCACAAAGAAATGAAGATGTCCATATTAGAGGCACACGTGGGCAGATGGTAATTGTTCTCCAGGGAGAAAAACAACACCTTGTTTTGCTAGAAGTCCTGATACAGATGGTACAAAACTCTGTAGCATATCACATGGAATAAGTCTTTATGTTGAAAACCACTGATTAAACATGATGTATTAAGGATGCATACTTTTTGAAAAATAGTAAAACACTGGCTAGAATTATAATTTTAGTATAATGTAAATAGCATTAATAATTTTTGAAGATTTTTTAAAAAATATTAGAGGAATAAAAGATTTCACTATTCCCAACAAATACAACTCTACCTTAATTGTAATAAGAAGCCCTGTAAATCACATGCAGCTTTACTTTATGAATAAATCTAGACATACAACCACATAATTAGATAAACCAGGTGCTATGGGTATCTGTTTGAGATATAGAGAATCACCCCCCAAAATTCTGACTCAAATTCTTAAAACAAGAGAATATTGAAAGGAGGCTCACATTTTGAAATATATTACTCTATTGATGCTTGAGAAAATTTTTAAAAAATGTTAAATTCATAGTCAAAAGACATGCAATGCAATGCTTTGACAAAGAATAATAACTAAAGGTTGTAAATCTTTGAATTTATTATATGCAAGTTTTCAATGTGCCTATGTATGTACAAATTAGTGAAAAACATGACATTGGCAAATCTGGGTTTTGATGTTGGATTTGATTAATATATTCAGTGATAACAAGCAAGTCAAGTATGCTTACTTGAGAAATAGTAAAATGGGATAAAATTATCTTCTATTTTTCTTCAAACTTAAAAAAAATCTCTGAATCCTGTATAGAACTTATTTTAAAAAAATAATAATAAACTGAAATGCAAAACTTACTGATAGTTATAGAAAGGAAGATATCAAATGCATTGTAAAATAATGTTTTATATTTTTGATGTTTAAAAAGTTTAAATGTTCAAATTAACCAGTTCTAAACTAATAAAATACTAGACAGTTTTAATAAAAGCACATACTTATTTCAACAATTATCAACAATCATAAATTAATATGCACTAATGCTCTGTCAGACATCATATTAATTTCCTTATACTTACTGATTCCGTAAATCCACAAACAACCTAAAGAAGAAGCCACTGTCATTATGTTATTTACATGACTCTGGGAGGTTAAGATATGTATCCAAAGTGGCAGAGCCAGGATTGCAGCCTAGAGTGGTAGCTCTAGGGCCTGTGCTCTATAACCCTCTCCAGCCACACAAGCTTGTCATTTGATTTGGGAAAATACAAGCTGATCAGTTTGGTTGAATTACAGAAAATATTAAGTGGTGATCAGAATTAGAGTTTGTGTGGCATTAGGTTGTAGGTCCAAGAGTCCGATTTAACCTGGGAAAAATGCAGGAAGCTCCCACTATTGTGCAAATGTGCTGGTAATGATGGGAAAATGAAAAAGCAGTGAGGGAAATGTGAGGAAGTATTGTGAAAATAAAAGAATTAACACATGGAAAGGGATTAATACCAATGAAAGTGTAATTAAAGGAAATCTGACAATTTTGAATATGATGGACTCAGAAATGCATGGTACCATTATAGAAAAAAAGTCTCAAAACAATACTGGATGGGAATAATTAAGGGCTAGATCATAATTTTGATTTTAGATTTTTTAACAGACCCTAAATCCCAAATTTAATAATTCTAAGTTTTGAAGATAAAATAACAACTTTCTGCCTGTTTCCTTTTTTTGGACAGTGAGGTTTAATAAGTGAATATTGTGAATTTTCAAAACCTAAACTGCATAGAAGTTTCAGAGATGTCACCAAAATCTATTTTTGGATTTTTTTCAGCATTAAATGCTGAAATTATTGTTCAAAGAAATAAAATCCATAGAAACTTGGATACCTTCCCAGAAAAGACATTTGTCATTTTAACACGCTGAGGAAAAATTTGAAGTGAATTTTTTTTTTTAAATAACAAAACTACCTGGATACCTCATATCCTCTAAATGATTTCTCCATCTGTAGTTTTGTACCTGCCAATCCAAATGATTGGGAATAATGTGCTCCAGAAATGCAAGAGAAAACCACTAAGAATGTTATCTATATACGCATACAAGTGTATTACTTATGTGTGTGTCATGATACGCACCTACTTTTTAATATATGGGTTTACACATCTAAATCTATATATGAATATATATAAATGAATAAATATATTCATATTTATACTTTTCAATATCTGGTATGATTTTCTATGTTCTTATTTGTAAACTTTCTATTATTTTGAAAATTCACATATATTTGCTATATAGTATTAATGACTTTAGTCCCCTTTGGAAAAAAGCATTGTTTTATGAATAAAGATGAAATTTTTTTCTTTCTCTTGCCTTCTCTCATTCAATTTTAATTGACAATGTTATCTTCTTGCAGAATATATATCTTTGTATTCATAAATATACTTAAGATTTTACTTCTAAATTTGTCAACTTCAATAATATTTTACTTAATCTGTCACTTATAAGGTAATAAGTGGGATTATTTTATAATATAGTCTTTCTAATTTAACTAAACTATGTCAATAACAAATACATTTATATGTTATGTATGTATGTATGTATAAACCCATATTATATATACATACATGTGCGTGTACTGTTTAAGAATACAATGTGTCTCTGAGCATGTAAAATTTACATAACAAATTTTCATCCTTATTCCAGCCTTTTGTTTTCTTTGCTCTTAGTTTTATAATTAAAAATATTCAGGGCTCACATTCAGCTGTCTGGTATGGTTTCCCTTTCATTTCAGCAGCAGGGAACAGACTGTGCTAGAAACTGAGTCTAGGATCTAACTGTGAGATTAACAGAGTTCCAAAGACAGCCAAATTAGGAGAGCCAACAAGGCTACTATGATAAAGTCAGAATACCAGATTTCCCTAAATCTTCTTGGCCTGTGGAAGTAGCCTTCTCTCCTCCCCCTTTCTAGAGGAACATCTAGGGACCAAGCTAGTTCCTCATTTTAGGAGGGAGGGTCTTCATACTTGTCCTTAAGATCTGCCTTTCCTCCCCTTACAAGCTGAGGAGTAAGATCAAGACTTAGCATGACCTGACAGGAAGGTATTTCTGTTCTAGAAAGAAAGATTATTCACTGAAAGGTCTACAAGTTCAGGAAATCTATAGAAGTGGGGAATGTGAGAACATGTGGGTGTCAAGTTATCTTACCGAGGGGATCAGTTATCTTACGGAGCAATGGAAAAGGCACTATTTTAGGGGAAAATATTTTTACAACTTATAAAAGAATTTGTAACATAAATTATACACAAAGTTGATAAATTTCCAACTGTGGTGCCACTTTCTCAATTAGTTAACCTCAGTCTATAATATTCTGCTTTGCTTTATCTTGTTCTATGACCCTGCCTCTGGAAATTGTCTGCTCTTAATTCATTCCCAGCATCTCACAGTAGAATATAATATGAATCCAAAATTACTGGAGTAAAATTTCATTTGGGTAATATTGGGCAATTTTCTAATAGATGTGTCATTATTTATGCTGAGGGGGAACATTCTTATTCTTTTAAAACTGAATTTAATATGAGAAGAAACATGACAAGGATTTTTATATCTGCTTTTGAAATTTAATTACCAATATCAGTATGCTTCCTAAATATTAAAATGACTACATTAAAATTTCAAAAGACATATTCATCTGAATCATTTTTAATCAATTGTGAATACCTTAGGATGAAAATGAAAATGAAATAAACAGATTAGAAATAAATTGGTACATCTTCTTAATTCAACAAGGTGTCAAACTCCAAATTGAATGCCAGAATGCTTTAGAAATGAGAAAACAAATAGAAAAAGTTTTTGCATTTATGTGTTTTAAATGATCTGCCTTAAAAAAAATAAACATTGTATGTAATGAGCATGATATAAAGCTGTACTTCTCAAAAGAGGGTAGAGAAAAATTGTCAGATGGCAAGGAAGTCCTCATCTAGGCAGGTATTTCTAGACAAAGCATAAGAGAATGCTGAGGTATCCCCAAATAAAACAATCAGATATGTTTCTTAGCATGTTTTTTATATTGTCAAGGTTTCAATACGAAAACAAGATGATAATGTGGGCATAAGCCAGGAAATTGTTTTCCAGCCTTTTTAGTTATACATGAAAATTTTGAATTCATTGTGACATAATTATAAAAGCATGGGGTATAATTTGTTCTAATTCAGTCCTCAGTGCTTCCTCTTCTCCTCCCTTCCTCCCACTCCTATTCCCTTCCTTCTATTCTACTGATCTTTCTGCTATTAATAGTTTGGTTACATGCCTTTATTTTATTTGTTTATTTTTATGTGGTGCTGAGGAGTGAACCCAGTGCCTCACACATGCTTCACAAGCACTCTGCCACTGAGATATAGCCCCAGCCCAGTAGTTTTTCTTTCTTTCTTTTTTTTTTTTCAGTTTTGTCTTGTGGATGTACATGATGGTGAGAATCATGGTGGTGTAGTCATGCATGTACAGAGAAAAGTTCAGTCAGATTCATTCCACTGTCTTTCCCTATCTCATCCCATCTTTCTTCTATCTGTTCTCCCTTCTGTAATACACTGATCTCTCTTCCATTATTTTTTAAAAATCTGTCCCTCTTTATTTTGGATTAGCTTCTGCATATCAAAGAAAACATTCTCTCTTTGACTTTTTTGGATTGACTTATTTTACTTAGCACAATAGTCTGCAATCTATTTATAAGCAAATGCCATAAAGTCATTCTTCTTTATGGCTGAGCAACACTCCATCATGTATATCTACATTTTCTTTATCCATTCATCTGTTTAACAGCACCTAAGTTGGCTTCATAGCTTGGCTATTATGAATTGTATTGCTGTAAACATTGATATGGCTGCATTACTATAGTCTGCTGATTTTAAACCCTGTGTGGGATACCTGGGTCATATGGTAGTCCCATTCCTAATTCTTTTAGGAATCTACATAAGACTTTCCAGAGTGGTTACACCAATTTGCAGTCCCATCAACAATGTATGAGTGTATCCTTTTTCCACATCCTAGCCAATACATGTTGTTACTTGTATTCTTGATAATTGCCATTGTGACTGGAGTGAGATGAAATCTCAGTGTAGTTTTAATTTGCAGTTCTCTAATTGCTAGAGATATTTTTTTTTTCAGATATTTATTGACCATTTATATTTCTTCTTTTGAGAAAGTGTCTGTTTAGTCCCCTTGCTCACTAGTTGATTGGGTTATTAGAATTTTTGGAGTTAATTTTCTTGAGTTCTTTGTATAGCTTGGATACTAATGCCTTATCTGAGGAGCAAGTAGCAAAGATTTTCTCCCATCCTGTTGGCTCTATTATGCTTTTGATAGTTTCCTTAGCTGTGAAGAAGTTCAAAAGATGGAAAAACTTTCCATGTTCTTGGTTAGGCAGAATTCATATTGAAAAAAAAATGACTACATTACCAAAAGTGCTATACTAATTCGTTGTGCAATGTCTATCAAAATTTAAATGATGATCTTCAAAAAAATAGGAAAAGCAGTCATGAATTTTATTTGGAAGAGTGAGAGACTCAGGGTAGCCAAAAAAAAATCCTTAGCAAGAAAATTGAAGCAGGAGGCATCATAATACTCGACCTCAAATTATATGATAGGGCTATAATAGCAAAAACAGCATGGTAGTGGTACAAAAATAGGCACAAAGACCAATGCAATAAAACAGAAGACATGGAAACAAAAACATATAAATAATGTTATGTCATACTAGACAGAGATGCCAAAAACATACATTGGATAAAAGAGAACAAATGGTGCTGAGAAAGCTGGAAACTCATATGTAGTAGAATATAATTTTAACCCTTGTCTTTCACCCTGTATAAAACTCAATTCAATGGGGACCAAAGACCTAGGATTTAGACCAGAAACCCTTCCCCCTGCTAGAATAAAATGTAGGCCCACAACTCCAACATATCGACTCAGGAGCTGACTTTCTTAACAAGACTGCTAAAGTACAAGAAGTAACATAAAAAAAAAAATCGAAAAAATGGAATGGCATCAAATTAAACTGGGGATTTGTAAAGGCGTTATTGACTATGGAAAATCCCAAAACTTCAGTCTGAATTCTTGTTTGATAATCTTTTCTTCCATAAAATTCAAATAATGTTCATATTCTTAGCAAATGGATATTAATTTATCTGTTCAGGCAAATAAAGGTATGTAATGAACCATATGATAAAGAGAACAAGCCTCTGTACAAGTCCTTTGAGTATTCAAGAGGAAACACAGAAAACTTCTTTCTTTAATGAAAGAATGAAGCCAGGAAGAAGATTAAAATGGAGAAAAAGGGAAGAATTTATAGTTATGCAAAATTAATCCTTAAGTGATGATGATTGGGCACTTTAAGTCCTTCAGATTTCATGTCCAAGAGGAAAATTCAATTTCTTAAAAATACTGGATACACCATAAATATTTAAAGTGAATATTCTAAAACTGCATGTACTTCCTGAAACTATTTGCTTTATCAAAATAATTTTAATGGATCAATTAGCAGTAGCCTGCTTTTGATGCCTATGTATTCTTGAGTTCCCTGACTCTAAAAGAAAATATATTTTCATGATTTAGTACTATCATGTTAAAGATCAAATAAACCCACCAGGAAAGTTGTATGATTACTAGAAAACATTACATCTTAATTTAACAAAACAACATAATTTACTATGCTAAAATTTAGGACAGTAAGTCCTAAGACCCCAAAGCACATACTTTTCTTAATTTATGTCATTCAAAGCTTTAGAGAATCAGAAGCCGACATATTATAAAACTCTGGTTGGAATAGAAAAAAAATTATTTTTTTCTATTACAAATGACAATTATAGGAGACTTACAAAAGAAATATGTCCAGGTCATAATTAAATTAGAAATGTTTTAATAATCAGGATTTTGACACTCAATTGCAGTCAACCATAAAACATGCTATTACAAAATACCAGAAGAAAAATTATGATGGGACAATAGAACACATAGACAGATGTTTTAGTCAGCTTCATGACATTGTGAACAAAAGACCTGACATGACAAGAACAACTTAGTAAAAGGAAAGGTCATTTTGGCTCATGGTTTCAGAGGTTCAGTTTATGGTTGACTGATTTGATAGCTCTGGGCCCAAGATGAGGCAGAACATCAAGGCAGAAGGGTGTGGCAAAGGGAAGCAGCTCAGGACATGGCCAAGAGCAAGTGCTCACTAGGGACAAAATATAAACCCCCCAATTATGTCCTCAGTGACCCATTTTCTCCAGGCATACCCTACCTATCTACATTGACCACCCAGTTCATTCATCAGTGGGCTAATCCATTAATTAGGTCACAATTCTCATAATCTAGTTATTTTTGAATATTCTTTCATTGTTTCACACATGAACTTTTGGAGTAGCATTCATATCTCAACCATTACAACAAATAACAATACATACTTTCATCAACCCTGAATATTGAGCAAATTAACGTTTTCAGAAACACTGAAACTTTTCAATAACATATTCCCCATAATCTGCATGGTTCAGTGGAATAACCCCAAGAAATTCTTCAGAGGAGATGAAATTTCAGAGATACTATGAGCTTTTAGTTTCCTTTTTGAAATATTGTTAAAGCAATCCCAATTGGAGAAATCAGAGTAATACTTGGAAAATGCATATCCTTTCCTAGAAAGAGCACAGAGGATTTTTTTAAAAAAAATTATAAGTCACTGAGTCCAGAAACCTAAAAATGAATGGGGAGTAAATACTTGGAAAAAGAAATGATGAAGACTAAGAGCCTTTCCATTTTCTCTTTTGAATGCAACAGTCAACTGGAAAATCAGTTGGATATGGATTATTGAGTTAATGTGTCATCTCTGCAAGACAACCCACCAAATATTTTATTGCTTCAGAAAAACACATATTAAGCTCACTTTGGATTAATAACTAAGTCTGAGCTTGCCTGGGTGGTTCATCTGGGCTTTCCTGAGCTCCCCCATGCAATTGACATAATTAGACATAAACAGGATAAACTTTTAAAAACATGTTCCTCAGATGCACTCAAAGGGAAAGAGACTGTGAGCTATTTTGAGACTAAGGATCTGTGGTGTTAATATTTACCAAGAGAAAGCAGTAGAGACTGGGCGAGAGGTGGAGTCAGGGCAGAGTTATGAAATTTCTTGCTAGTTTTCCTTATACTTTTGCATTGCCCTACTTCAAAAGGTCAAGGGTATGGGTGTAAGGAAGAGGACTGGTTGCTTATGAGTTGCTTCTTTTGCATTCCAGTGGTCCATTGGCACTTCCTGCATTCCAATGTTCATGGGCTCTTTGGAGACTCAGTATATCTTTTGTTTTTTCCCACTATATCCCCAGATCCCTGTTTCATAGGGTAAGGGACTATTCCCTGACAATTCTTTGAAGCTCATTGTGTGATTCCAGAGCCTAGTCCATACCACCTTAACTCTTTTAGAAGTCTTAATGAAAGGTTGTATAAGACCTTGACTTGATTTTTACCTCCAGGCTGTATTTTATTTTGATAATATAGCAGGAAAAACTGGATATGGGCATAATTTTATTTTGTATCTCTCCAAAAAATTGTGCTTATAAATTGACTATTTCTTTCTTTCTTTAGGTAATTTTTTATACTACTTCATTTTCTGCAAACAATAAGAACTTGCCTACACTGAGAACATCCTGCCTATTTCCATTCTGCCTTTGGAAATCTGCCAATTTCAAAAATCATGTTGCTCAAATTCAGATCTGCTGTTGCTATGGGGCATTATCAAATAGATGATGGGGATGTTCTATATTGCAATGTCTAGAATTTATACTGGTATTTACATTTATATACATATGTACACATACCACTATACATATATAGTGGCATATACAACAGTCCCATACATTTTTCTTTATTCATTCTACGTGTGACTGTAACATAATTGAAATGTGGGCAATGTGACTGGAGAAACAAATTTTAAACTTGAATTTAATTAATTTAAATTACCATTAGAAGTTAACAGTTATTGTGTTAGGCATGTAGCTTTGTTAAATTTGTTAAGTGAAATAAGCCAGACCCCAAAAGTCAAAATTTTACTATTTTCTCTGGTATGTAGAAGCTAGACCAAAATAAGGAAGAAAGGAAAAAAGAAAGAAAACAGGAGAAAAGAAAAGGGGAATGATTCCATAAAAAGAGAAGAGTAATCAGTGGACTAGAGGTAGGGGATTAAGTGGGAAGGAAGGGGGTTGGGAATGGTAAGGAAAAGTGGGATGAATTTGCTGTAATATTCCTATGTACATAATTTGTATTTTAAACCAGTTTTTAATGATAATTTTTATAATCAAATATTAAAGTATTTTTCTTAATTTAATCACCTTCCATGTCTGTGTGTTCCTTTGTTAGGGAATTGTAACATTTTGATGAGAGATGTTTTTGCCTCTTTCTTCATGAACTTGTACATCTGTGAGATGGATTTCTCTTTTTTTTCCATGAAGATGTTCTTTGATGTGTAGTTGTCTCTTTTGTGATAGGCTCTGTGTTGTTCTTATCTCTTATCTTCAACACCTAGGTCCAATATAATCTACATGTTAGTTTGTGCTATATTATACGGTGCAAGCAATAATTATATAAACTAAATTACTTTTTAAGATAGTAACATTACAGTTCACTAAGAGGAAATAAAATGAGCTAGGAAGGTAAAAGAAAAATTTAAAATATTTAAAAGGCAAACAGAGGTATGACAGGGGAGAGGAGAAAGTGATGGCTATAAAGAAGAAGTCAAAAATAACTAAGAGAAATGGCATAAATAATGAGTGGGGGAGAGAACAAATGTCTTTGGCTATTAAACGAGGAAGAGGAGAGAAGGAATAAAAGAGAAACAAAAGCTAAAATGAAATATGATCCCTCTAATGTCAAAATTAAGTAATATAACAACATACACATTCACACTCACATATGATTGGAAAAGGAGAAGAAGAAGAAAAAAGAAGAAGAAGAAAGAAAAAGTCTTTGCACCTTTTCTTGGGCTGTGTACCCCTCAGAGATCAAGGGCTAGGGTTTTGTAATCCTGTTTTCCTTGAGTTGCTCACTCTGTTGGTAGCTGGATTGGTCTGGAACCAATAATGGTTGTGTTGGCTCTCAGCCTCACTTTTCACCAGTGTACTTTAGGATAGAAAGGAGAATGACAACTAGAGTTTTGTCATTCACACTGGGTAGATGCATGCCCTCCTAGGGTGTGCTGATTCAGAATTCTGAACGTGAAATCCAGGTGTCTGGCATTTAATTTGACCAATTTTTCAAGCAAGTTATAGAGAGAATAGCTCCACTCACCCTATTGCTAGTAAGCATTTGGGTCTGAAAGGGGGTCTTGTGAGATCTCCACTAGTAGGACTTTTTTCACTCTCCATTGCCAAAAAATGTGGTCTTTTCAGGACCAGATCTTGGTGCAAATGTGCTCACCTAACTTCTAATTTCTCTCCAGCTAATCCTGCAAGCCTTCAAACCCAAATGGAAAGCAAGAACACTCCCTTCCTTATCCACAAACTTGGTCCCCATTGGACTCTATATCCCCAGCCTGAGACCCCCTGCTTCCATGCAATCCCTTCTGCATCTCTCTTTCTGTGTTGTACCTGGCAGGAGGACTCTAGGTCTCAGGCACGGCATGTAGCAACAGTTGGCTAATGCTTCCTGACTCAAACAACAGGAAGTCATATAAGTAATCCGCTGTGCCACCACTCCAGGACAGCATCCTGTGTTTGCTATCCATTCTCCAACTGAGAAGAGCAGAGCACCCCTCACACACTGCCTCTGAGTCATTCAATCTCACATCACCTCTCTCCCCGAGGCCACATCTTCTTTGCAAATTGTCTTTTTTTCTTCTTGGGTTGCCCCTGCCTTTCATGATGAACCAGCACTGTGGACTTATAAACTGGATTCTTTCCTGACTTGTGTTCAAGTTGCCTGAATTTCTGTCTGCATGATTTTGTTACTGAAATTTGGTGAATTCCCTACATGATCCACTTCTTTGAGAAGTAGTATTCCTGTGTCACAGAGCAAGTGGAAATCACATTCTTCTATGCCACCAACTTTTTTCCTCCTTGATATTATTTCTTTCTTAAAAGCTAGATAAGATTTACAATGGAAGTTATCATTGCATACAATTGTCCTTGTGGAATATGTTTAACTACAAATTTAATCTCTTCATTTTTTATTAATTTGTATTTTAATGTACTTTATTGTTCTAAGTTTAAAATTATTTTTGCCGTACAGCAATTGAATGTTTTTGTTATTTCCCTTTTAAGAGTTATATGTTTCCTCCTTAATTTCTTACCCTAGTACTTTGTGTCTTCTCTGTTATCTTCTGATTTGCCAAATAAGAGTTGTATCAATTTTATTATTTCAATAAGATAGCTCTTGATTTTATGGATTTTTATATTATGTTTCTGTTTGCTATGTCATTGATATCCACTTTGACCTTAATTATTTCTTTCCATGTATTCAGTTTGAGTTTAATTTCTCTTTTATTATACTTTTTAAAAGTGGATGCTAAGGTAATTTTCTCTATAGTACTTTGTTATCAATGAAATTTAAATAATTAGGAAAGAATCTTGCATGTTATCTATGTAGTTACCATTATCAATGTCCTTTTTATTACTTCATTTAGTTTATTTCTGTATCTGATATTATATTTTTGCCTTGGAATATCTCTTCAAACATTTTAAATGTGGTATACTGATAATTACATTTTTACCTTTAGATTTCTGAATAAAATTTTATATTTTATTTCATTTGAATAACATTTTTTTTATTGAGTATTGAACTCTGAATTGACCTTTTAATTTACTACTTTAAAGATACTGCTTTCTCATTTGTATTATTTCTGTGAAAAAGACTTGTCATCCTTTTTTTTCCCCCTAATGATTTTGTTTTATTATAAGTAATCTTAAAATTCTTAATCACGATTTGTGCAATTTGAGTATGATGTGTTTTCTTTTTCATCTTTTTCTTATGCTCATAATTCATTGATTTTTCAAACCAGGGATTTATAATCTTTATAGAAATTTTGAAATTTATGTACGTTGTTTCTTAAAATATATCTGCCTCTTCCTTTTTGGATCTTCAGTTATACATATATTAGGTCCCTAAAATCACTTTACACCTCAGAAACAATTCTGTTTTTCTTTTTGTATTCTGTTAATGTTGTTCAATTTTATGTATTTCATAAAATTGTGTGAAAACATTTATTAGGATCTATAAATGACTATTCATGTAAGAATCAAATTTATATATTCAATAAACATTTCTGGATATATTATTCCAGGAAACATTTGGCAATTAGGTGAATAGTTCTCAATTTTTGCCGGTAATATTGTTTTTCAACTTGAGTTTTATAAAAATGATCTCTTTTTAAAATTTTTAATTAAAAAAGTGAATTGTCTAAAGACCTGAGTTGGAAGAATAAAGTTTTAGGAATTTACTCCATTTTGCTACTGATTTTCATAGAATATAAGTCATCACTTTCTTCACTATGTCCTCACTTACACAATGAATGCAAGAAAGGGAGCCACTTTTTTCACACTGAGTCGAGTCTATATGCAAACATTCAACTTATTCAGTTGAACTGCTTATGTAAAAGGGGAATAAAAAATTTCAAGACATTCTTTTATCTACCAATTTTGTTGTTGCTGTATTCCTCAAACATAAAGGAAACTTTGTAAAAGCTTTATTAACTCTTTCAAGTGGGTCAACAGTTTCCAGAACTGGTATGAAATAATTATTAGTACTATACAATGAAATAACTTAGCTGAAAAACCCTGAACACAATTACTATGTAAGGGAAAATTCTAACAAGGAGTTGAGGTACTTAAATGATGTTATGGAACAAAAACAGAACAAAAATTCAAATATTTGAAAAAGTTCATTACATTTAAGAAAGTAAGAATAGACAATGTTGTGTCATTGAATATATTTTATGGAGGTATAGTTTATTGCAAACAAATTTTATAGATCTTTATTGACAGATTTCACGATGTTTATCAATTACATATGCTAATATTATATCAATCACAAAAATGAAAATATACAATAATCCTGCCACCCTAAGAAGGTTCTTCATAAGGTCAATATATGCCAAGGTTCTTCATAAGGTCAACATATGCCACAGATTATTGCCCATTTCTTTTTTGACTATTATATTTTATTACTTCCTTTTCCTACATCTAGCTTATTATCTCATTTGTTTTCTATTTTCTTACGTATTAAAGTTTAGATTACCAAATTGACTATTTTCTTCTTTTCTGGTAGAAACATAGAGCTATGCTCTTTTAAGTCTTGATTAACATCATTCCACTCATTTTCATTTTCATTCCACAGTCTTCTTTTGCTTCTTTTCAGTATTATTTCTTTTTTGAATTAATTTTCACATTAGTCTTTGCCTTTTTCTATTATTTTCACTCTTTTATTATTCATCCTGTTCATATTTATTTGTTTCAATTTCTCTTCTTTTTATATATTTTTATTTTAAAAATAACATATTTATTATTTTTTTCATATTTTAAGTGGCGCATTAGAGTTGTCCGTACTGATGTGATTTGTTGTTACATATTCGTACATGCATTCAATACACAGTACAATATAATTTGGTCAATATCACTCCCCAGCACTTCCTGCCTCCCTCCAAGCCTCCCACCCCTTGGTCCCTTTGATCTCCCTTTGATTTTCATGAGATCTACCCCGTTTTCTTTTCCTGTTTCTTCTCTAGCTTCTGCATATGAGAGAAACATATGACTCTTAACCTTCTAAGATTGGCTTATTACACTTAATGTAATGTTTTCAAGTTTCATCATTTTCCTAAAGATGCCAAAATTTGATTTTACTTTATGGCTGAATAAAATTCCATTATATAATATATATATATATATTATATAATGTGATATATATATATATAAAATGTGAGATATATATATATATCTCACATTTTCTTTATCCATTCATCTGTTGATGGACACCTAGGCTGGTTCTGTAGTTTGGCTGTTATGAATTGTGCTGCTATAAACATGAGTATGCAGGTATCGCTGTATTATGATGACTTTAATTCTTCAGGATAAATACCAAGAAGTGATGAAACTGGGTCATGTGGTGGTTCCTTGCCTATCTTTTAAGGAACCTCCATACTGATTTCCATAGTTGTTTTGTTGTACTAATTTATTTGGGTGCTTAGACTGTTGCTTCTACTTTCTTTTTTCTAATATAAACATGACACTACAAACATTGCTAATATTATCTATGTTTTACTAACTTTTTGTCTATTTGAATTACCCATTGCTGAGGAAGGGGCTTTGAAATCTGCAGTTGTGTTGTAGATTTGTCTATATCTTCTAAAGTGTGTGTATATTTAGAATTGCTTTGCCTTCTTAAAGTTTTGATTCTTTTATTACTATAAATGATCCTTCTTTATCTTTAGGAATATTCTTCAACATGAAGTCTACTTTGTCTTACAGTAACTTGTTTTAACATTTTCATTATAACTTTCCCCACATCTTTGCCTTTAAAATGTCTATTCCTGC